TTTTTTTAGCATCATCCCTGTTCCCAATTCTGACTTTGTGTTTGTGTGTGTGTTTATTACCAGCTATCAGCGTCTGTGTTGGGGGCTATCTGGGTGACCAGCAGGTTGTCCTATGCCTGGGGCTACTACACAGGAGGTAAGACTGATGTGCATGTAATGTGGAAGGACTTAAGAGAGCATGAAGGCACCTACACTCTGTTTATGTGGTTAATATTAGGGTCAAATTTATCATTTAAAGGTTAACTAGTAGTTTTTTAAAGGTGTAAGGGGTAACTAGTAGCCCCCCGCCCCCCCCCGTGACCTAAGCGAGGATTAAGCAGTGTATAGATAATGGATGGATGGAAGTTTATAATAACCACAGCATACAATAAAATATCATTTACAATGTGGGTGCGCTGATTTCATCCTCTATCTTATTTATCGCCGCGCTAAAATGTATTATGGCAGATAATAAAATTACAGACCTAAGTCAGTCATATCAGTCATGTAAGACTTTTAACCCACAACAGTTCACGTCCAGTGAAGTGTTAAGGCTGCAGTCCAGTTGTGACAGAGGTTACAGAGCAGAGATCTCTGACTGCTTTTATTGCTCTTAGCTTGGTTTTGTTTAATCAGTTACAAAAGATTGCATGTAAGGAAAAGGTTACAAAGGAAAGACAAACAGCTGTGAAGTTCATATGATGGTAATCGTTTAAGGGGTGTGGGTTTAGACAGCGGTGGAAAGTAACTAAGTACATTTACCTAAGTATTGTACTTGAGTAGAATTTTAAGGTACACAGGCTTTACTTGAGTATTTTCATTTTTGCAACTTTGTACTTTGTATTTTTGTTTCGAGATAAAAAGTGAACAAGTTTATTATTTATTGTTCATTCTAAAAATAACGTAGTCGTTCATTTTATATAATTTTGCTTTAGAGATAATTACCATTATTTTGTTTTATTTCAGATCCAGCCAAGAGGATGAACGGTGCCTATGGCTACATTGGATATCTTGGAGTCATCGTTCTGTCCATATGCGTAGCTTTGCAGTTGCTTGGCTTCTATTAAGATGATGGTCACTTTGTGTTCGACCATCTGACTCATTTACACTGGCTTCTATGGCATTTTCAGATGTATCAGCAGTTAAGTCTCTGCACTGTTCTTTTAATGCTTGTCCCAAATTGTGAGACTAATCCTATTTTTATGAATCACTGATGTGAAATTCCAATATTTTTGTGTGAATGTTTACTCCATGTACTGCTCAATATTCAGTAAACAATAAAGTAGATGCAGACTGATGCTACAGCTTCAAACGCAGTCTCTATGTCCTCTGTTCACCGTTGCAGGCTTTAGTTGAGAGATGGTTGTGGATATTAAAAGGGTCAGCAGCAGGCATGAAGGTCCCATGTGACTAACACATGATGTCTCACTCGCAAATCTCCCATCTGTTAGACCATGAAGCAAATGGCTTCAAGAACATCTACAGGTCGTATTTAACAAAGAATCAAAGAAACGTTCTGTTAAACACCACAGAAATTCCTATGAAATAAATAAACAATGAAATTAAATCTTGAAATAATGAAATGAGACCATAGATATGTAATCATCAAAACA